ATTTTGAGACAGGATCTTGCAAAGTTGCTGAGGCTGGCCTTGAACTTGAGATCCTCCTGCCTCAGCCTCCGGAGCCTCTGGGATTACAGGCATGGCCACTGCTCCCAGTTTCTCTCTTTTCTTTCACCATTGAAAGCACAATGGCGTCAAGCTGACGATGTTAAAGATGGGCTGTCTGTGACCTGCTGGCTCGTTTCAATATTGATGGAGATTTCAGATCGAGTGCATTTCACTTTGCTGTTTTTAATCACCTTTTATAAAACAGTGAGAGTGAACTGTAATGAGATGAGGCTGAATAAATCATACCAACAAAGACGGTGATGGGCTGGAGCTGCCCTTTGACGGGACGACTCCAGAATGGGAGCTTGTTGAGTACGTGCAGAGTGACAGCTTGGCACAGGGTTTTGTTCAGGGACACTCATGCCCAGTGAGTGAAAGTGCCTTTGGCTCAAAACCTGAGGGCGTGGATGTCAGAGGCTACCTGGGAACGTGGTCATCCCCTTCCTCCTCCTCGTTTCCAAAACGACAAAAGCCACTACCTTTCCTGAGCACGTCGGGCGCGGTGCTGTTTGGTTCTCCTGCATTTTCTTACCTAGTCCCTCACCGCCAGGAGAGCAGGTGTCATCGTGATTATTCCCATCCGACAGGTGGACGATCAAGGACTGGCCGGTCTGAGGACACATGCCTGAGACCAAATGGGAGCCGGGGCAGAGCCGGCTTTGGAGGCGCCGACTCCTCAGCCTGTTCTAACAACTCCCGCGGGTTCCGATGCAAACAGCAGAGAAGCGGGAAGTGGGCTGGGGGACAGGACTCGGGCGTGGAATAGGTAGAGATAGGGCAGACCGAGAAAGGAGGGGGCTGGTAAGAGCTGCCAAATAGTCCTTCCGGATTCCCAGATCCCAGCGGATGCAGGAAAGTCTGAGCAGGAGTCCACAGGGTCTAAGCCTTGGCCGACGGAGCCGCTGGGGGGTGGATTCTGTTTCCTTGGTGAAAAGAGCGTCCAGGTTCCTTTAGTTTGAAGAGCCCCTGAGCTGAGACGTCGGGCCGCTGTACTGAGAGTGATAGCCATTTCTTGTAAACACGAGGGGCTCCTTCCAGTCACTTCACAGCTGGTTTTACAGATGGAGACCGTGGAAGCGGTTAAAAACCTGTGGCCTTGTAGGATTTCTGTCCTTGGTCACCAAGGGCATAAGGTCTGTGTCTCAGACATGGGGGTCCTAACGCGAGCCCTTAGCGCAGTGTGTCGCTGGATGTGACCAGAGCGTTTCCCGGGTGCCCTGTGGCCGTGGGAAAGCCCTAGGTTCTGCAGGCGTCACTCTCTCCGTCTGTGAAATGGGACACCAGCACCTTCTCGGTGGCCGGTGCTCGAGGGTGACATTTGTGGGCACCCAGAGCTGAGGCGGGCGTACGGTCGGCCTGAACACGGTGCACTTGGAGTCACAGCTGGGTCGCGTCACGGAGGGTGGGAGAGCACCCAGGACAGGGACCTCGAACCAACAGCTCACTCCTTCTGAGTCTCGGGTCCTCACCCGTGACACGAGGAGGCCGACGGGCCGGCCCCCGGGCCTCTGTGACCCTCTCGCTCATCCCTTCCTCCGTTGTCCAGTGAGCGAGAAGCGTTTGTGGTCATGGAGGTGGGGGAAGGAGACACGGAGGGTCGAGTGGTCGGTCAGAGCCGGGTCCCAGCCAGCCCTCCACAAGCAGCGTTCAGTCTGTCCATGAGGAGCATCAGGAAGCTTCAAGACCACCAAGGCCCTGTGGTATCCCAGAACAGTGAAGGACCCAGACCCTCTGGGTGTGGGCTTTGGCGCCAGAACTTGGAACAGCCTCCCGATGGGGCTGCGGGGGCTGCGTGGCCTCAGGCTGGGCTGGGAGGCGGCCCGGCCCAGCTGCCCATCCCGCAGACATGGGCCCGTGAGGGCGTGACGCTGGCCGTGGCTTCCTGGCTGCAGTGGCGCAGGAGCTGAGGTTCCCTCTGGGTGACAGCGGCTGGCTGGATGCCACCCGTCACATGTCATGCCCACTTCTCCCCTGGTCCTGAGAGCAGCAGGTGCTCCTCTGCAGAGGGGGCTCTGAGAAGGCGTCCGTCCCCAGGTCCCAGGGCCGGCAGGTGGTGGGGCCAGGCCCATCTGGCCCTGAGGTTGGGCAGCTTTGCTCGCCTGTCACCAGCACGGCACAAGAGGCAGAGCCCATGGGGACTCAGCACTGCGTGGTGCCCCTGGATTTGTGCTGCTTCTGCGCCTGCTGACCGAGCAGGCGTGGGGAGTGGGCTGCTCCTACTTTGTGTAAACGTGGTCACCAGGCCAGCACAGAGGGACCCAGAGGTTCTCAAAGTGTGGTCCCTGGGCCATGAGGATCAAAACCAGGGGCTCGGTTAGAAATGCAAGTTCCTGGCCCCAAACAGTACTTCCTGACCCAGAAACCCTGGGGAGGGGCCCTCTCAGAAGCTCTCCCGGGAATAATAACACCTGCCCGAATTTGAAGACCCCTGCCTTAGGCCTAGACTGTGCTTCACGTCTCTGGCTTCAAGTTATAGTCACTTAGGAACCTTCCAAACACACTTGTAGCCAGACCAATGAAGATCCCCGAGAAGGGGCGGGGATCGGGCATCGGTGCTAAAAGAAATACACTTCTTCAGATGACTTTAACGTGCGGTAGGGTTGCTCATTTTAGCAAAACAGCAGCAGCAGCAGCAACAAATTAGATCTGAATTTCAGGTAAGCAGTGAATAATTTCTTACTGTGTCTCATGCAATGTTGGAATCTATTAGTACTAAAATTTTCTATAGAACTTATGTGATGTTTGTTCTGCAACCTCCTTACAAATAAGAAAATGCACGGAACTTGTGTGCACAGCTTACAGCATTTTTTTTACTTATGTAAATGCTCGTGTCATCACTATCCACATATTTGCTACTGAAAGTGTGGTCCCTGGACCAGCAGTATCCACCTCCCCTGGGGTCTGCTGAGAGAAGCAGAGCCCCAGGCTCCACCCGAGACCTGCTGGATTAGAATTTGCATTTTCACAAGATCCCTGCTTGGTGCACATCAAGGTTCTAGGAGGTTCCAGGAGCTCCAACCGAGTCCCTTTTTACAGCTGAGCTGTCCTTTGTAGCAGCTTCCAGCCTCATGTGGCTCCTGAAGATAATATTAATGAAAATAAAATAAAAATTTAAAATTGGTTTTCCAGGCACCTTGGCCACATTTCCAGCACTCCCTGGTGTAACCACTTGTAGCTTGCTCAGCCAGGCTACAGAATGCCCCAATTCTCCACCGTTGCCTGAAGATCTCTTGAACGCCACTGATTCAGAAGGAGGAACCAGAGGCCCATTCTCTGAGGACCAACGGCTGGCTGTGGGGACCTTGTTCAAAGGCAAAAATCTCGTTAAGGGTAAGAGAGGCCAGAGAAGTGGCTGCTCAGCAGAAACGCCCGAGTCATCTGAGCAGGGTGGAGGGGGTGGGGAGAGGACCTCTGGGAGTTGGCAAGGTTCCTGGGGGAGCACGGCTCTGCTGGCAGGAACGCTGCGGCAATGCGGAGCTTGAGTACGCAGGACATCCGCGTTGATACCAGATACACTCATCAGGACCCATTGGATCGCAGCGAAAGCCGAACAAAGCAGCGCGGCAGGACAGTAGACTACACCAACAGCACTCACCCTGGCGGGATGCCTCCCTCCGGCCTCCTTCCCCTGTCTGCAGGTGGCGTGGAGGCAGAGGGTCTGTCCATGGGTGACCATTAAGACGACAGGGCTCCTTGTCATAGGACACTCAAGCAGGTCTCTGTGGTGAGGAACCTGCAGCTGCCCCTGGCACCAACTTGCCAGCCATGTGAGGGCGCCATCTTGGAAGTGCCCGCGCCTCCAGCCCCAGTCAAGCCTTCAGATGACAGTAGCCCCTGCCCACAGCTTGACTGCAACCTCATGAGAGACCCTGAGCCAGGATGACCCACCTGAGTTGCTCCCAACCCAGGGCAGAGGACCTGGTGGGAGCTTGAAGACGTTTGGAAATGAAACCAAAGGGTCTGTGGAACGTGGATTCCAGCCCTGGGCCTGTACCGAGAAGGCAGATCATGAAGGGCAGTGGTCACTCCTTGAACTGGCAAGGATGTGTCATTGCGAGTGTTTCGGACACACATTTCTTTCATTTGATTGGCATCTACCTGGTGGGAGATAACTTAGAGGAGACTGTCGTGAGGACACTCACTCTGCTCCCTGGGCTTCCGTCCTGGGTGTGTCACTAGGCCTTTGGGTTCTTGAGCCTCAGTTTCCTTATCTGTGAACGGCTAGTGTGGAGGAGGTGATGTGACCTGGCATACAGAAGTGGCCCAGTAAGTGGTGACGGACTGTCTTCAGCCTTCACACGTCTTAATAGAGCCCTTTCGGTGCTGGGCTTGAGGAGAAATGCTAAGATGTACAAGACATGGCTTTTCTCATGTGCAAAATATAGTTAGTTGGTGACCGGGGCACTGGTAGATGTGCTCACAGGGTGCAGTGGGAACAGAGAGAGGTGCATCTGTCCCAGGGAAGGCTTTGTGAAGAGGGCATCTGCTTTGACTTGTGAACAAAGAGCTGGAAAAGGTGCACAGTGAGTCTGGTGGGTCAGGACCAGGAGGTGCATGTGGAGGAGGAGTGGGGGGTGAGGCCAGAGAAGGCAGCAAGAGTCAGGGTGGGCTTCGTATCAGGCTAGGCCATACGTCTTCATCCCTTAATGGGGAACTATCCCGGTTCTATTACTGCCTGACAAATTACCTCCAAACTTAGCAGATGAAAAGAGCCATACGCTTTAATCATCTCACAATTTCCGAGGGTCAGGAATTTGGGAGCAGCTCAGGAGGGTGATTCTGGCTCAGAGTCTCTCATGAATCGCAGCCATGTTGTTGGCAGGGGCTACAGTCATCCGAAGGCTTGACTGGGGCTGAAGGGGCCACTTCCAAGATGGCGCCCTCACATGGCTGGCAAGTTGGTGCCAGAGGGTGGCTAGAGTTTCCTCACCACATGCACCTTCCCCGAGGCCTTCTTGGGTGTCTTTTTTACATAGGGTCTGATTTACCCCAGAATGAGGGACCCAAGACAGAGCAGGGGAGAAGCTCTGACATCTTTTAGGCCTTAACCTCAGAAGCCATGGGTATTGGCTCTACAGTATCCTAATGGTCACACAGTTCCTCCAATTCAGTGTGAGATGAGAATCACTGGGGCCATCTTGGACGCTGCCTATCTTTCTAATAAAATGCGGGATGGCGTGGTTGGTCCCAGTTTTCCAATGAGGAAGCTGGGGTGGGGGCTGAGTGACTTACCCAGGGATCCTCTGTGTGAGGTTGGTGGCACTCTGCTGCCTTCTCAGGGGCTCCTTCTCCCACTCAAAGCCATTTCACCAGACGTCTTCCTCCCCAGAGTCCGCACAGCCCACTCCTTCCCCTCGGTGAGGGCTTCTCTGGCCAGAGGACCACAGTCTTCCCCTGTTCCCCAACAGGCCTTGCTCCTGGCCGCGAGGCCCGTGTCCTCGGGAATATGCCGAGTAAGCCCATGGCCATTTGTGGGTAGGTGAACAGAGGACTGATGAACACTGAGGTCATCGTCTGGTTCAATGCAGCAAGGGACCCACTTTGGTTTATTACTGAGCCTTCTCACAGAGGGGAAACGGAGTCAGAGGGTAGTGATTGGCCTAGTCCACGCCAGAGCTGGACTCGGGCCCCGTGCCCTGCCCTCTCTGAGGCCCTGTGTGCTGTGGCCTCCAGGAGGTGGACCTTCCTGCCGCCGATGACAGCGCCACTGCCGTTTGCCACAGAAAGACCGAGTCCCCGGAGAGGTGACGTTTGGAGAGGCAGGGTGTTCAGGGAGCCTGTTTGTTGGTTCCGCCTTTCCCCTCTTCATTTTCTGTAATTCCTTTGGAAAGTCCTCTCAGCTGGCCTCTGGTGACAGCTTGGCCCCCAGGTGGCGGTGGGGGGCTGCTCCGCTCAGCTCTGCTGGGAGGGGCCAAGGCCACTCGGAGTCTCTCTGGAGAAAACACGAGAGCTGCTCCTTCTTCACTTTTCACTTTAAAGACAACACAGTCACGTTCCAGAAAATGTTGTGAACGGAGGGGAGAGGCGCTCCTGACCGCCACGTGACCAGCAGCCGCACGGA